AATATAAGATACCGTGGTTTCAGATTGTGTAATCGTATAAGGGCGAGAAGTGGTAGGATAAGAATTATTCTGCTTAAAGGAAGTCTACGCAGCAAATAAAAGGTTGATTATTATGATTGTTGTACATGTTTCTTCAGTGATGCATGATAACAAACCGACGCACCGTTGCAAATTCATTTCGTGTAGAAGTATCTCGCGTATGGTGGTAGAACGCATAATCCTGTTCATTTTTAGTAGTCTATATAGAAATAATAAATATGATATTTTCTGTAGTAATACCGGATTTCAGACATAATAACAGACTTGACGTATTACCGCTTCATGATAAATTAACGGAGAATGTGAAAGGGAAGAAGGACTTTCTCTCTTCTGGGAAGTCTATTAACGAAAGAAATTGGTTGGCAAAACCACAATAGAATGCTTTCCCACCATATCTTGGAAAATCAAAATGTACCGTCTTTCCTTGCAAGTTGCCTACTTGCTGATTGTGCTGATAGTGTGAAGAAGTTGTATCTTCACTTATCCGCGACAGCTATTAATAGGATAACCGCAACTTAAGTATAGTCTCAATATGTATAATAGACAGTTGAAATATGCAGTTACCTCTTCAGTTATCGCTGATACTGTCTGTCCCATTATGTATGACTCGTGCTAACTAAAGGGATCAACGAAGTTTTAATTATACGTGAATATCTGCGTAAGGACAATAACCGTACGAGACGTACAGTATAATTGATATAAAATTATTTATTTCACGTGCGGTTATGTTATTTTCTCGTAAGAATAGTAGGACTTCCCGTGTGTTGGAAGCAAGTTGATAATTGCTTTCATGTTTTCTCACTATATAAGCTTGCGTGACTTTGTAAGATTGTTGTTTATTGTTGTTCATTTATCATACAGTATACAGTTTCAACATGTTTTCTTGGAAACTTTTTGAATTTTCATTGGTCGATACAACTATACTACCCTAACTTTGGGAATTTGGCTTAATCGACAGCGATAGGCGAAAATATCCGGTTACTATTATTGGAGATTTATGTTTTGATGAACATCATAACCAACTAAGGAACAAAGTACCGTACATAAATATTTATTTTAAAGCTTATTTCAAAAGCTTTAATATAAAAAAATTTTAAAGGATTTACGGAAACCTAAGTTATTGATTACAGCAATAACAAATTTCTTATAATAATCCTTTCGAGATCACGCCAATGATTGAATTTCCTTAAAAATAATTGTTCAAGAAGGCAAATAAATTATGCTATCTATAACTTTCCTATACTGTAAAGAATTTTGTATGACTAATATATACATCGAAATAGAAATTCTTTACAGTATATAAAAGAATTTGGTCAGTGTAGCACAGAATATATATGATTAATAGACACTATTCGCAAGATCTTATTAGTTTGGTCAATGACATATCTCTCGCTTTTTCCCGCTCACTATTTTTTAAGCTCGGGAAAACGTTTATTTTCATGGGTAGAAGCCTACCAAAACAGAAATGGTAGAATATTATCTACTGCTTGAATCTCTACAGTTAACCTCCTAACATGTATATGACATTTGAGAATTTGGACCTTTGTCAACTCACATAATGTATATTTACGTTCTTGATGCAAACATTTATAGATTGTACATGTTTGATCTCAATACATTGCAAATGCATGCGGAAAGAAATTTTTGATTCTGTAGATTTCTTGATATTAACTAATCTACGCAAACTTAACTTTACTTTACCTGAAAAAATAGGTTATTTAAAAAGGTAATAATACTCGGTGTTGCTTATTAAAATGAGAATTTGCTTGAAAAGATCATGGACCCTTGAAATTGAATCCAATATGAATTAATAAAGTTAGTCTTTACTATTGTGGGGTGTAGTGGCGAGTTTGTCGCTAAGAATAGCAAGGTTTTGTGTAACCGCGGATAGGGTGAGTATATCTAAAGGTAATGGGACGTGTTTTGGATTGTCTCTTTATTAGCATTGTCTTCTCTTTTTATACATCTTCTTTTGCTTACAGAGGCTGGCGTGGCTATACTGTATAACAATAATAAAATCTTTGTAGAAGCTATGACTAACTTAACATATTCTTTTTCACAATTCTTTCCCTCTTTCCTATAATTAGATAATCGTGCACGCAAACCAAGAACAGGTACCCATCACAGATTGAGCATGTGACGAAGGTTGCGTCTCAACTTACCCTGTTACGCTAGTGCTGTGGTACTCGAAATTATTTGGAATTTGATCATTTGTATGTACAACAATCAATGACTCAATAACTATGTAATACAAATTATTTGATAAATAAGAATTAGATAACATATTGTAACAAGAGTAATTGGAACGCGAATTTCTTCACGTGACCGATCACTGCGACGGGTACCGCGAGAAACCAGTTTCTGGTTGGCGGTGCACGATTATTTAATGATAGAGAAGGAGGGAGGGATCGTGAAAAGGAATTATGTAATATAATTGTCATCTCAAGCCAAACAGAGTCCACCAGGGTGACCATAAAAAGTTAGAACATGTGACGAAAACCAGTCACGTTTAGTGGAGTCAATGCAAGGAGTGTGACATAGATGTAGAGGGGACGTTTCATAATGTTATCATGTGATAGTTGTCACTTTGATCTCACGTATAATTCGAACTATGATTATAAGCGAAACTTAAGTATTAAAGATAAAATTTAAATTGATTATTGGTTAAGTAATTAGGTAATTAAAATAGTTGGTCTATTAAATTTAAGCTAATATTTTAAAAGTTGAACCTAGAGTAAATGATACATAATGATAATGAAATTATTTTCGAGTGAAATTTCCGAATTATGTACAATTCACGTGATCGACAATAGTGATCAAATTTCGTGAATTTCGTGAAATCGCGAGAAATTTTTAA